AGGGGTTAGCGCTGAGGAGGCGGCAGGCCCTCCTGCCGGTACCAGCAGAGCCGTCCCCGGCGTGCTCGAGGGCTCGGAGGCTGCAGCTCTGGCATGACAGCACATGAGCAGGAATCGCGGGAGTCCTGACGGTTTAAGGGCCCTGATTTTTGGGTGCTCACCATAAATCGCTTCAAGAGTCAGCTCACCAGTGACCTTCCCATGGGAGCTCATAAGCATCTGCATTTCAGCTCTCCCAAAAGCTCTCATCCAGTTTTGAGAATCCCGTCCCCTGTCCTTCCTTGCTGCAGACCCGACGTATTAGCAGCTGCGGGAGAGCTGCAAAACTCCCCTTGACTCCAGCCTGCTCTAGACGAGCACCTGCGAGGACACGACACCCTTCAGGGCCTGCAGGCATTAAGCCACAGAGTGATGATATTTGCCAAAAGGCCACATCAGGAGCTGGAGGGCTTTGTAGCTCGTACGTATTTGATCAAGCCAAGCAGCCCCTTAGCAATACCACAGATAAAAGGTATATACAGCAACGTGTATCTAATCTCCACAGTATTTCTGTGCACAGATATTCAGATTCAGATCCAAGTCAGAGTTGCTGGGTTTTAACATTAAACTGCAATTTTTAAACCCAAAATTCTGCTGCTCTCCAGCCACAATACCACAGGAGTCGCATCTCACTGACCTGGATGGAATCAGTCAGGAAGAAGGTACAGGAGGCCCAGGACAGTCCATGTGTCCAGTCTCTATTAATCAAGAACATGGGGGCAAGCACAGTGTGATAGAAGTGGTGGGAGCAGGATGGTTTTTGTAGACTACACATCCCTGTAACCTCCTGAGCTCTTCTGGTGTTGGTCGCATCCTCCCCCTGCCTCCTTCCAATGCAACCCCAACTTCCAGGGTAAGCTTTCATGGAAAGGGCATCACTGAGTACTGAAGCCAGTCTTTGCATAGCTGAGGCTCTGAATCACCTGACTTTTCTGTCCCTGCATAAACTGACATAAAACTGCTTGGGAAATGGCTACATATGAGAAAGCAAGCAAGAGCAGTAAGGATCGAACTCGTGCTGTGAGACTGCACAAACAGAAAAAGGGGACTCAAACAAAAACCCTGTCATTTACAGTAACACCACCACAATTGGCATGTACAAATGCTTGATCACACAAAGAGAGACATTAGGATGGAGAAATAGCATTGAACATCTCTACCAAGTTTGAAAATGCAAGCCATCACAATTGCCTATTAAGGCTTCTGCACTTGCAAAAGCGGCCAACAACTCAGGCCATCCTGGGAAGATCTCTTCCCAATACAAGAGGAAACACAGCCCTGACCACTTCTACCTGCCATTTTGGTCAGAAAATTAACTGTACATTTGGCTGCTAGAATTAGCACATGCACTGAGGCTCCACAGCGCTTCTGCCTTGCACAGCACGGTACAACACCAGCACAGCAGCGAGAGGAGGAAATTCAGCAGCCTGTGACAGCACTTTGTTCCATGGAACAACAGGCTGTCACTGCAGGCTCAGATTAATCATTTCCCTCCAACCGAGGCACCTGGAAACCAAGCACTAAGCTTTTCCCAAGTGTTTGAAGTGCCAGTCTTCACTGGTATGACAAAGCAGGGCTGGATCTCCTGGGGACCCCTGTGTCTTCCGCAGAGACCACTGCCTGAGGCAACCCTTATCCAGAAGGGTAACTCGGGGCCAGAGGTTATTCTGGTGTTTGAGACATCTCAGATCTTACAGATGTACCAGTTTTACCCTTCCTTATGTCTGCTAAAGTTGGGCAATGCCTTTGCTTCTCAGAGCAGCCCAGACAGCCTGCCAGAACAACCTTCCTCTAGCTGATAGATCAGTAGCCATCACCAGCCATCAGCTTTAACTGTGAGACAGTGGATTGCCATCTAAGACTCACCCCTGCCACCCAAACAAATAAAAAGATGTCAGAGAGCTCACAGATCGGGGCACTGTGCAGATCTCAACCAGCTAGAGACTGCAGAATGCTGGGGAAGGCAAGAGCCATCAGCATTTTTTGCTAGTTTTGCCTTTAGAGAACAAGAAATTAATTTCCAGGAGGGGCCAGAAGCATTGCTGGACGTAGAGCACATGCACTCATTGCGAATGGATGCACGAGCCTTTCCACATAACCCAGCACAGCGCTGGAGGCTGGAGAAATGGCCCATCCAGCTGCTCAGATCACCGTCTTCTCATGCCTCAGCCAAGGTGCCCGGTGTCGATGAGAGGTGGAACAGTCTCGGGTCCACAGGGCATTTATCTGAACACCCGCTCCCTGCTCTGCAGTGGTACAGGGGCAGGATGGGGGCTTTCTATTGAAATGAAAAAAGGAAAAGCTATGTCAAGTAGCAACCGCAGATCCCTGACAGGAACACGTGTATCGCAGATATAACAGATTGCAATGGTAAGAAGGGGCAGTAGCTCCATATTCCTCACTATACCCCCAGTTGTATTACCAGGCAAAGTGAAACTGCGTCTTGACAAGTGCATTTGCAAAGTAGAAAACAGGAAGCACTTGGGTAATTATTTAAAAAGCAGTTTTACTTTGAATGCAAACTATGAAATTATTCTTCTGTCTTTTCATTCCTTTTACCCCAGTTAACTCCTGCATCTCTTTCAGCTGTAAAATTCATAGACAATCTTATTGTTACATGCAAATCACATCCCTGTTTGAGGAGAAGTGACTGAGCGGTTCTCCTTTAAAATCAACTGAAACATGCCTTAAGTGAACTTACCAAAAACTCGTCTACGAACTCTTCTCGGTTGAGCTTTTTGCCTTGGACCCTTTCCAGGTTTTGCAGCAGAATCTCCCTTTGGTCCATGTTGCCGGAGACGGAGCGCGACTGGCCTGCCGCACCTGGGAATGGACATGTCAAGTGCGTGCCGCAGCGGAAGGCAGCAGCCTGGAGAGCACTCGCGGCAGGCTGTGGTTTACTGACTTCATCACAAGTCTTGAAGGAAATTAGTACGTAACAGATATCGTGGTCAAATAAAACAAACACACGACCTGGGGCCCTAGCGCCTCCTTTTAAAACCACACGCACTTCGCGTGCGCCACACAGCAAGGGCAGGCACGCTGAGCTGGGCAGCAGCCTCGTGGCAGGAGCAGAGCCAGGCGCTGGCCGCAGCGTGCTGCCAGCGTGTCCCCCGTGCGCCGTGCCACGACGGTGGTCGCGTGTTGCAGACCAGAGCCGAGCACCCCAGCATCTGCCTTCCTTAAGCACCATGTCCAGCAGTCACCAGCAGCACGGCCCTGCCGGGCCATGGTCCAGCAGCTGAGCAAGCGTGCCCACGGTGGCCGCGCTTCCCTGCCAGGCGGCCGGGGGGAAGGCTTCCGACTCGGAATATGCTGTGGCTAGAATAGTCCCTAAAACAGCATGCAAAATCCATGGTTCCCCTTCACACTTACAACTTACCTTGTTTTCCACATTAACTGCAAAATATTTTGAAAGAAAACTTCAGGCAGATGCTGAGCACCCGAGCCTGGCTTGCACATGTTATTCCCCTGAACTGCAGAACTGCTTTTTAACAGAGAAAACCTATCGACATGCTTCAGGTCAACTCTTCCGGCCACAATTCCCCACGTCTGGTAGCTTGGGCGAGGAGACAGGGTCAAATCTGACTCCAGTAGACTACAGAAATCCAATTAATTATGCCAGCCTAATTCACCTCACTCACTCTTAGTAACAAAGGTACTCTAAAAAACCCAAAGGACAAAGTGGAGGTCATTCTGAAGTGGCAAGGAGATGCAGAGAGCAAAGTTCTTGAAGGCCATCCATTTTTTCTACTTGCAGAAGTGGGGAAAACTAAACTAAAAACCACGCCCCAAAATACAAAAAAAAAAGGGAGTCACAACCTTGATCCTTCCAATATCTTACATTTTGCACAAAGACTTCAGACTGGTTGTACCAAGCCTGTTTTTCTTTCTGATTGTAACTATAGTCATTAAATGTATTCCCCTTCTGTGTTTTCTCGCAGGTCAGGTAGAGAATAGCTACAAGATTTCTGTATCCAGCTGCTAAAAGGCAAAGGACTGCTGATCACGCTGAAAAAGCCATCACTCTTAGTTTAAAATAATGTCAAATTTTAATTTTGAAAAAATAAGCCTTTGAATCACCTGAGAGGAACGGAGAGATCTTTAGAATAACTAATGGAAACCTGTTTTAAAACAAATGTTCACCTAACGAATCTTTATTAATTAAATTAACACTGCAGCACTAAGCACTAACCTAGTGTCCTGGTTTTGGCTGGGATAGAGTTAAATTTCTTCCTAGTGCTGTGTCTTGGATTTGGTATGAGAAGAATGTTGGTAACACACTGATGTTTTAGTTGTTGCTAAGTACCCTGCTAGTCAAGGACTTTTCAGCTTCCCATGCTCTGCCAAGCGCACAAGACCTGGGAGGGAGCATAGCCAGGACAGCTGGCCCAAGTGACCAACGGGGTATTCCATACCATAATGACATCATGGTCAGTATATAAATAGGAGGCGTGGTCCAGGAAGTAGCGATCGTTTTTCAGGTATCAGTCGTCGGGTGGTGAGCAATTGCATTGTGCATCACTCATTTTGTATATTCTATTATTATTATCATCATTTTCCCTTCCTTTTCTGTTCTATTAAACTGTCTTTATCTCAATCCATGCATTTTACTTTTCTTTTTTCCAATTCTCTCCCCAGTCCCACTGTGGGCAGGGGGGAAGTGAGCAAGTGGCTGTGTGGTGTTTGGCTGCCTGCCAGGTTAAACCACAACACTTAGAAACCTTGAATAAGAGCAAAGCCCACTTTTATGGCTAAATTGAAGAGAAACACAAGAACAAATGAATAACAACAAATGCTTATTAACTTTTGGTTTTAGTGATATTTTAGAATGTCTTTTACACGTTGCTTATCTGTAGAGTTCTGCGTGCAGTCTCCTGAAGAAATACAACAGCATTTCTCCCAGTTAAATCAATGAAAAGCCCAGTTTCACTTTCTGGAAAGTAGTATAGGCTTTTCTCTCAATTGTCCAAGTTCTCCTGAAAACAAACAAAAAACAGCCATGTGTAAGTGTTTTAGAGAAAGAATTCAAGGCAGGTTTAAAGGAACCAAAAGGAAGAGAAGGACACGGGATGGATGGATGGGTGACCGTCCTCCCACTGTGACCCTCTCCTGGACCGATTTCATCCCTTCCGCCAGTAAAACGCACCAAGCCGGGTCTGTAAAGTTGCGTGAGCAGGACAGCGCTTTTTGTATGACCCATCCTTCATTATTTTGATTCTCATCTAAGGGAGCAAGCTCAGCTCCCAAGATACCGAGATAAGGAATTAAACCCTGAGACAGAGAAGCAGATGGAAAGTTTGATGCTGGCTTCAGTAAGGTTTCACCGAGGTGTTTAGCAAAGCCGTGCTCCCACAGCTATACCCTGAGGTAGCTGGTGCACGTGTCTGGGGGGATGCGCTGGGCATCAGTGACGAGCCGAGTGAGGCAGGTGGGAGAGGTGAGAGACGCAAAGGAAGAGCCATAAACGCCCAGGCAAACATCACCGTCACCTTTACATCCTTACCCATCCGCCGCAGGCCTCAATGTAGCTTCTCACTTGAGAATTCCCATTAATCACATTTATGAGTTGGTTGGGATGCACCATAGCTAGGCCTTTCTTAGCAACATGCACTAGCAATTTCACAGAAACAGAGAGAAAAGCTGTCTCGTAGACCAGCTCGGGGTTCTGGTTACTCCAGCTCCTGATGAGAGAGTCCACGGCAGCCCCAAACTTCTCCATCTGCAAGCATCGAGAGGGCAGTTTGAGCTGCTTTTTAAATGACAGTGTGATAAGTAACTCTTGGCTCAAAATCCAACATTCAGTTAAATTCCTGCATTTGCTGCTTCTACCCACGACTAGAGCAGGTGACCCCACAGCTTCCTGGTGACACCCATACAGGTGGGACACTCAAGGCAGGGCTCTCCTTTACTGCGGCTTGTACAAACTGCAGCAGCAGGCCTGGGGAGGACAGCTGGTAGTCTGACCAGAGCTGCAACGAACCTGAAGCTAGAGCTGCCTGCAGCGCTGGCACCGGCAGCGTGCTGGCACGCGAGCTCTGGCCGCAGGGCAGATCACTGGCAGCAGCTGGAGCACCCGCTCTGCCCCTCTCACCGCAGTCTTCCTCCTTTCCCCCTCTACACACCAGCTGCCCCCACCAGCTCCGGACTGCAGAGCATCTCCTGCAACGACAGGCCGGCCCAGGCAGCTCCAGGGCTTTTCGGGTGATAAAAAGCAGCTCCTCTGGAAGAGAGGAGGAGAAAAGGCAGCTTCCACAGTGCCTTGTCCGGCTTCTGTCCTGGTGGCTCGCATGCCGCCCGCGACACAAAATGGAGGGAGGCTGCGGGGTATCGCGCCCCTTCCCCTCCGACCCCCCTGACCCCTGCAGCATAAGCGGTGCTGCTCCCTGGGCTTTTGCTGTTATCCGACAGAAGGTGACACAAGGCCGTCCTACAGACAAGGAGCTGGCCAGGCCAGGCAGGACAAGGCGTGCTTTACCTTTCCCTTGAGCACTTCAGCAAGAGCCTCTGAGGAAACCCTTTCGAAATCCATGTTGCACTGGTCCCCCATCCGCCGCAGGCGACTGGCAACCACGACCGGGTCAAAGGGGATTGGAGGCTCTCCCTCAGGCTTCACAGGCTCTAGAGCAGAGAGCAGGGAGAGGCGTTCCAGCATAACGCGTTAATGGCGGAGAAAGAGAACACGTGCTGACAGCCCAGCCTCTTTAGCTGGCTACTGCGTCCAAAATGCTGCCTTCAATGGGCACCACAGTAGTTACTGGCCTCAAACACTCAGGGGGGTTAACGCAGGGTAGTCCTCTGACAAGACACATTGGGAAATGTAGAACCAAAGTCCCTAAGAAATATCATACAGCCATTCAAGTATTCATTGATTTACAGGGACCAAGGGGCTCTGTACCAAGGGTTTGTCCAGGTCTCTCTCCTCCCACCTCAGTTGCTTCATGCCCAGGTCTCCGTTCATCCCCACTCCTGTTTCTCCTAGGACATCCCTAAGGCCTCTCTTTTACCCCTCCGGGTTCCGGCAGTTCCTTCCTCCCAGGCTGCCAGAAGCAAGCAAGGAAAGTCAGAGGACTTGGAAAACATCTCATCTCTCTCTTCTGACTGCAGTGACACAGCAGCATCAATGGCAAAGTTCTGCTGGCATTCCCCCAGCATTTTGAGGCTGCAGATCATTGCGTGCAGTCTTCGGAGAATTTAGATATTATACTCAGGGTCTCTTCTGAACAAGTGCAAACTGCAACATTTCAAAGTCTCATAGTGACCCAAATTTGGGAAGGTTTTCACAAAAGAGCAAAAGGCATACGTAACAAATTTCAAGTATATAAAACCATTAGAACTTCTCAGTTAAACTACTTAAAGGGGCAGGGGTGAAGAGTGTGCCTCAGTTAAAGCATTTTTCCCTTAAAGCATCCTGAGGGGAAAAAAAAACCAACAACAAAGTATTATTTATTTTTTCTGAATATGACCAAAACAAGGTTCAGCCAGAAGGTGTTACCCGACACCAAAAGTTTCAGCAAAACCATTTCCACGTTTGGCAAAGTCATAAGGAACCAAAAGCAGGATCTTTCGACATAAAGCTGTGGGCAACTTGATCTGGAGGCATCGCTTCCTGATCCAACCCCCCTCCCTCGTCCAGCCACTAATTCCAGCCGCTAATTCCAGCTGAGCTCGCCTCATTCAGGTGCCAGCACTCGGCACCTGCAGCCCTGGGCAGAAGCCTGCATCTCCTGGGGGTCTGGGGCAGTTCCCAGTGCTCAGGCCAGCAGGGGCAGAGGCACAAGCGTCTAATCCAGGAAAGGGAAACGAGCAATGCGCTAACGGAGACTTTTTCTTTAGGCAAAACGACAAACTTCCATGAAGCTTTTGAGAAATGGACTTTGCTTGCTATCTGGTGTCAGCAAGATCCCAGTGTCTCTTAGGATATTTTAACTGGTTTGCTGCCGAGAAAATAATGGGAAGAGCGATATGAATACAGGTGAAATTCTGGTTTCTTGCAGCATTGCCCAGCAAACCAAAGTAGCCCAAATGATATTAGGAGCTTTGTGAAGCAAAGACCACATTCTGTCTTACATGCTAAAGTGACTGATTTTATCCAATAAGCTATATGAGCTTTCTTTTTGATAATGACAGTTAAAACTTGTCCCACCCTGTTGGTTTGGTGCAAGTTACTCCGGACCTGCGGACCCGTGCAGGGCAGAGCAGCCGGCGGCACCTCCTCTGCCGGCACTGCCTGCAACTAGCACCCGCAGCCCCAGGGAGTGGAAAGCAGGGTGGCCGTCCTTCACACCCCCATTGCCCAACCCTGCCAAGGCAGACTGCAGCTGTGGGCTGCTCAGGATTCAGACAACTTTACCTTGCTATAGCTTTTCTCCCAAAACAGAGATAGCTTGGAAGCCATCACAAGCCTGCATTTTAGGAAACCCAACAACCCCAAGCTACAGCTTCCTTCGTGTTCAGTCAAAACGCTCCTCTGTCATCTGCAGCAAACAAACCATTTTTTCCCTCCCGCACAGGCCCTACCTTCCGAGTCTGTCTCCAGGCTCCGGCAGTCAGTCCCTTCTTCACCTAGGAGGTCAGAGAACAAGGCTTCCACAACGCACTTTGTCTGCTCCTCGAAGGTGGCCATTTCAGCGTGTCTCCCCACTGCGGAGCAGGCAGGAACACCACCGCAGCTGCTCTTCTTTGCAGGTGAGCTTTGCCGCCGGATTTTGGCTTCCTTTTCCCAGAACTGCACAGGTTGTTCCTTCGGGGAATAGTATGACCCCAGACTCCGCCCTGAGACAGCACGACATGCCAGTATTTGCTCTCTTAACAGTCGTCATTCAAGCTATGGGTGTGGTTTAGTTTCAAAATAAGTCATTTCTCTTAAGATCAACTGAAATAAATATCTACAAGTTATCGAAGACTACTGACCTGTTCATTCATCAGGAAAGGTGTCTGAATAAAGGCTAGAAGCTCCAAGTCCCATCCCAGACAAAGACTAGACTCGGTCTAGCCACAGCGGAGTAAATGATAGCTTGCCAACAAGCTATCAACTATTTTTTTTCTGAAAACTGCATAATGCCAATGCTCCAATGCAGCTCTCCATAAGAACAGAGATACAACATATGCATAAAGACACTGGAAACTGTTAACAGGAGCCCTGCTACAGCTGACTTACCTACCTTTGAATTCACCCATAGGTAGCTCTCCTGTTATAGTAATTTGGCATATGAGACTGAAATAAATTGTTGCACAACTGCTCCTTAAAGCCTTGCTTCAAGGAAGTTGAGAGAGAAAAGCCCTGTCTGACCTAGAGGCTGGACTGCAGTTCTCTCCGGACCCACAGCAGTGATTGCATGACTCCATCCCGCAGACTTCAGAGTTGAACGAACAAGTACTCCAGAAAACAGCCGGGAATGATTCACATTTTTATTAGGAAAATCAGC